TGGACTCGGAATCTCTCGATTGGACGTTGTCAAACTCTCCGCTCATGCTTATCATCTTGAGCACGTCGGCCTCGGTTGCCTGAGGCTTCATCATTGTGTTGAAGACCTGAATACTGGTGTGCAGAATGTAAAATTGGCTCGCAATCCGACCAATGTCCTTGCTGCGCAGTTCCTCTGTCCTCTCGTTGAAGATAATCATTTGGCACTGTTGTAGGGTTCGAGCCGCTTGAATGGCGAGCTGACGACGCCTCTGGACCAAGGTTGGGTCATCACGAATCTCCGCCCATTCTATGCCATATGTCAAAGGATTCTTTCGCATCCGCACAAAGAGGTACGAATATCCTATCCATTGCACGGCTTCCTGGATCGATGTAACAGTTCCAAGCGAGATTTCAGCGTTCAAGTTATCCACAAGCTTGGTGGAAAACTTGGATTCGATAGGCTGCTGTTCTGTTACAGCAGCCAAGTAGTGTGGGAGCTTATCATGGGTTGTGCAAATCATTCCGATACCGGTGTCTTCGAACTGGGGACGACCAGCACGTCCGAAAATCTGCAGCACATCCAAGATACCGAGATCAACAAACTTACCATCCTGGGCACTGTACACTTGGGTGCCCTTGATGACTACTGCTGCAGCTGGCAAGTTGACACCCCATGCCAGAGTCGCCGTACAGCAGAGAACCTTGATGACGCCTTCAGCAAAGAGCCGCTCCATCAAATTTCTATCGGCTCTTGCCATACCAGCATGATGGATACCGATACCTTTCTGGAGCAACTCGCGAATCTCCTTGGACCTGGATGTCTTCATGTCTCTTACTGCGCGGTCATAGCCAGGGTGTCCAACGGGATCCAAGAGATCCGTGCAGAATGCCTCGATGGCCTTGGCATGGATCATCTTGGCAGTGAGCATAGTGTCTCTGCGAGAGTGCACAAATACCATGACCTGATGGTCTCGCTCCAACATCTCCTTAACCTTGTCAAATGCAACGTTGTCAAGGTTCTCCTTGGATTGCTTGCTTCCTGCTTTGCCTTTGACTCCGATAAAGTGCTGTTCCAGGGGAACCGGACGGAACGAGGCATCGAAGTAGAAGAGTCCGGCTTGTTTGTTCACTTTGAGGAAGTCGGCCACATCCACGTAGTTGGGTAAAGTGGCACTGAGTCCGACCACGCGAATCAACGATTGTGTGCTTTCGACCTGTCGCTCCGTTCGGGCCACGAGAGACTCCAACACGGCACCGCGTTCGTCATGCAACATGTGAACTTCGTCGATGACCAGGAGTCTGACTTTCTGGACGAGCTCGGTGTCTCCTGTACCCTTTCTCGTCACCACATCCCACTTCTCGGGTGTTGTGACGATGATCTGCGTCTGTACGATCTCTGATTTCGTGAGCTGCATATCACCCGTGTACTCGCGACACTTGATACCCAGCCAAGCCAGGCGTTTTCCGAGCTTTTCGGTAATCTCGGCTGCCAAAGCCTTCATAGGGGCGACATAAACAATCTTGAAGTCATCCGCCTGCACAGCAAACTCGGTGGCGGCTATGTCTTCCATTGGGTTGGGAGTAAGATATTGACCAATGGTTTGCAATATCGTTAACATAGCAGCATCAGTTTTACCCTTGGGAAAAATTGTCAGTAATTTCTTTCTAAGGTGGCATATAGTTATCCAGAAGCGAGTATCTAACTTACAGCACCAGTTGGAGCGCAGATGAGCATGTTCTCGTGAGTCTTGTAGGCAACAGGAAACACCAAACTCTGCATGCGGTTCAGAGTCTTGTAGTTTTTGAACGTAGTTCGGCAAAGGCCATCAAGGCCAGATATCTCAACTAGCTTCTGGCCAGGTCCAAGGGTTCCTTTTCTTCCCGCAGGAACGAAATACTCCTCGTACTTGTCGAATTGAAGATGCTCACTCCCAGCAGGCAAGCCATACTTTCGTCCAGAGTGGCTCAAGGTGTTTCCAGCATGGTAGGACTTGTAGACATGGGGGTAGTGCACCTCCCGGGTCTGGCTTGCTGCAATAGAAGCCGATTTATGCTCGAGATCCTGTCGCCGAAGAGCACTTTCACGCTCAGCCTTGGAGAGGATGCGGCGGCCCGAAGGCTCTTCCTTTTGACGGGTGGAGGCAATGATTTCATCCCTGTGGCCTAGAATTTCGATGATGAAGTCGAGGTCGTCAAAGCCGACCAAGTCGGTAAGGTGTATCTGCAGCTCATCGGGAGATCCCCCGCCAGAAAGAAGGCTCACAACCTGATTCTGGAAAACGTCGGCAGAGAGCCCATTTTTGGAGGCTATTTCGAAGCACTTAGTTTCGAACCAGTCCGACCCAAGATCATTAATTCCAGGCACGCCATCGGCCTCGACGAAATCGCTTTCATCGTCGTCCTCCCCATCATCACTGATAAAATCCCAGACATCTTGGCCTGTGGCACTCGAAGAATAGCCTTCAAAGTCGGTCTCATCGAACTCATCACTGTTTGATGCTTGCGAGGGGAGCTTCAATTCGGCCAGGGCGGCTTTCATAGCCTCGAACTGCTCTCTCCATTGCGCTTCGATGGCGCTGGGGTCATTGACTGCCATATTGGATGAGCTAAATAGGCCAGCAAGGGTCTCTTTTGGTTGGGAGATGCGTGGTAACAAGTTACTCAGTGGTGATATTGGAATGATGAAAATATATTCAAATTTTGGGGAGGGAGCTGTCCTCCTTTTTACCCCTAGTGGGTGTGTTCTAGGTTGAGATACTCAAAATGACGATTGAAGAGTCATCCGGCAGCTCGACGACTGACTCCGCAGCCAAACTGGAGTTAGGCGAGCCCCATCTCTAAGCTTACCGCAGTGGATCCTGGGCTTCCCAGCAGCCATCGACGCAATCAATACCAACAATAATAGCACCAGCGATCATAATGTTTGGTCCACGACCATCACAGAGACAAGCAATATTGTACATCTCCACGGCCACGGGCTGTGACTGGGAGCCGCCTTGAAGCCGGGCTGTTAGGTGAAACCGAAGGTCCACCGCGGCTGCCACCGCATAAGACGTATCAATCAACGATTACAGGGGGCATGTGATGGCTCTGGATAGCGCGCCACCTGGACCAACTCTGGCTGGTGGCGGTGGGCAGCCTGCAGCCTCCAAATCTTCACCCGCTCCCACTACGTAAACCTCCAGGCTCCAATCCAGAAGTCATCCAGCACACACCACCAAGTTGGCACTGGTTCTCGGGCACAAGATCTCTTCCTTCAACCCTCGCCTCGTCGCTGTCCTTGTCCTTGCCGCCAGAACTCACCGTCCCCCCGCAGAAACCACCTCCCCCCACCGCCACCATGAAGCTCCTTTACATCGGTGTATGTCCAAACTCCGGCCTCACCCCTCCGCTCCCGCCTCCGCAGTGCGGTCAACTTTTGATGTCTCGATTTCTTTACTGACAGCCCATTGCCCTCTACAGATCATCCGTAACGACTCCCAGCCCGCTCACGAGATCGTCGCCGAGAAGGAACTCAGCGCCTACTCGCGCTTCACCCGCAACAAGTTCGTCCACCTCTAATACCCATCATCCTCCTCCTCCTCCGCCATACCACCACCACCACGCCTTGCGCCGCCCTCTTCCCCCCAAACAAGATCATCTGCTGATCACACATAAACCCTCCAGCTATGCCGAATTCATGAGCTTCACCGCCAAGACCGTCGCCGAGCGGACCCGCGCCGGCCAGCGCCAGGACGTCGAGGAGCAGGACTACACATTCCACGCCTACGGCCGCTCAGAGGGCGTCTGCGGCATCATCATCTCCGACCACCAGTACCCCGCCCTCGTCGCCCACCAGCTCCTCTCCAAGGTCGTCGACGAGTTCCTCGTCAAGAACCCGCGCTCCGCCTGGGCCACGGGCACCCCCACCGTCCTCTTCCCGGAGCTCAAGGAGTACCTCGCCAAGTACCAGGACCCGGAGCAGGCCGACAGCATCCTCAAGATCCAGAAGGAGCTCGACGAGACCAAGATCGTCCTCCACAAGACCATCGAGAGCGTGCTGCAGCGCGGGGAGAAGATCGAGGACCTCGTCACCAAGAGCGACGGGCTCAGCGCCCAGAGCAAGATGTTTTACCGTGCGTCCTTACCCCCTCCCCTTTTCTTACCATATCGGGAATATTTGCAGCATGACTAACTCTGTGGTGTAGAGCAAGCAAAGAAGCAGAACTCGTGCTGTGTGCTAATGTAGCTTGATCCTCCTTCCTCTTTTCTGGCGTTGGATAACGGCTCTTTTTTGGTTCCCTCCACCATTCATCCGGGATGTTTCTTTTTTAGTTTTTAAAGCCGGGGGCACACACATTAGTTTACCGAGGCGGCGGCGGCGTGTAATTCCTCATTCGTTATTGTTGCTACCTACCTTACCCACCTCACGTTGATATTGACTTTTGGGCATGCGGCAACTTGATTGCAAAACCTGACCACTTGAAATGACTGATAGATGCAAAGTTTAGAAAAACGTCATCGGATAATGAGCCTTATTTTGAAACCTTTTTATATTTCAATCTAACTTGTTCCCTGACAAGTGTTGGTGTCTCTTCCTTTTTTTTTGGGTGACTTTGCCTATTCTATTGGGAATGTAACGAGTGCCGAAAATCCTCGCCCTCTCTAAATTACGCCTGCGCCCGCCCGTTCCGTCCATCAATGCGGTGTGGTATCTCCGTGTGCCCTATCATGGTAAAAAGTAACATAAGTTTGTCGAACAAAAGAAAAAATAATGTGGCTTGAAGAACCCAGCATGCCATCCATCCAGTTTCCAAAACCTGCCTCGATCCCGCGAGGAAATTGGGGGATCAGAATATAATAATAAAACATATATAGGGTCGAAGAGTAAATATAAAAAGAAATGTGCCCAAAAAAATGAAACGAGGCCCTCGCGATGTGAAATCGGGGCCAACTCCTTCCCTCGCTATGTCCTGCCAGACTATACGCCCATGATGTGTGAACAAAGAAAAGTAGATGGAAAGCAGAAACTCGACTTTTTTATGCTCCTTCAAGGATAACGAGCTCGCTCTTCCTGTTTCGGTAGAAATAGCTGGCATCCTCCGGCTCGGGGCCGGGGGTGATGATGACTGGTGTCGCCTTCTTGGTTTCGACGACTCGTTCGTGCTTCCCGGTGGCGATCTCCTGGATGGTGAGGGGTTTGGCCTTGGGAGGACTCGAGTTCTTGTAGCCTTGGCTGTGATATGGCTTGAGCATATCTCGCTGCTCGCGGGAGAGGCTGATTTGCCGTGTGATCGAGGCCTTGACGGCCTCTCTGAGGGCACGCTCGTCGTGGACATCGTCTTCGTCGGGCCTCTTAGCCTCCGCCGCGTGTGGCCTCTCCATGACTGGTGAGGTCGTTTCTTTCTTAGGGGTGCTGGAATTCGAGGATGCCGTTGATGCAGGGGGAGTGATCACGCCCCGTGCCACGTCTTTGATGGGTTGAGGAAGCGGCTTGTTCACATCTGGAGCTGGGGACCCGCCAGAATTCCTGGGTGAAGTCCCAAAGGTCGGCTTCGACTCCATTTCCGGGGTGAATCCTTGGAACCTGGAGGCTAGGGGATGTTTTCGTTGCGAGGGTGCCGGAACCGGGGTCTTGTCTGACCTTGTCTTGACGGGGGATGTCCTCTTCTCATCCGCAACTTTGCCCGGTGATATCTTTGCCTCACTTCCAATCCTAGCAGGTGAAAAACTATTGGCGTCCCGGGTTTTGATTGGGGATCCGCTCAATTCATGTACAACTGGGCCAGGTGACGGCTTGACGGGCTGTGGGTTTTTTGCTGGAGACACTTTGGGGCCCATATGTGTCCTGCCCGGGCCTCGGTGTTCGTTTCGTTCATGAGCTTTTGCGGCTTGTGACCCAAAAGGCAACCCGTTTGTAAGGAGAATAGGAGATATAGACTGAGGGGTCATGGGTCTTGAGGGGGCAGGAAACAGGTTGAAGGTTGGGGAGGCTTTAATTTGTGGTGAAGTCGCTCTTCGTGGGCGCTGTAGCTCAGGAAGCTGCCCGTTTTGCATACTTTTTTCCTCCATGGTTTTCAGTTTGCGCAACGACGCTTGTCGCCGCGTTAGTAATGAAGACGCTGACAAGTCATGGGATATCTGCGTTTGCGGTGGGCGCCGGGGATTAGCTTGATTATTGGGCCTCTGCTCTCTTGGGCGCTCAGAGGCTGCCGGTAGTTCAAGGCGTTCCGTCGGCGTTGGACGTGCCCGAGCTTGATTCGGAGGTTGCTCGGATCGGCTATTTTGACGAGCACGGGGCTCTTGTGGCACAGAGGTCAATTCGGGCCATCGATCTAGCTCCTGCCTGTCCTGCGGTTTTGGTTCCTGGGGTTTCGATTCCTGAGGTCTCAGTTCCTGCGCCTTGACGTCTTGCGGCTGGGGTTCACGGCTGTTCGTTTCCTGTGTTCGTAAATGAGTAATCCCAAGACCTTGCGGCGTTGGGCTTTGTGCTGCTTTGGGGGGAACCTGCGGCTTAAGGAGGTCTCCAAACATGACACTGTAGCGTTCCATTGTGATGTCTGGGATGTCAACATCGAGGAGACGGCCCCCCGAAGACGCAGAATGGTTTGGAGGAGCCATCCCGAGCCTCTGCATATAATGCTGCCGCATAGCTTGGGTATCCGGTGCCCTGCCCTGCGGCGGCCCTCGATTCGGTAGTGGCGTTTGCCTCTCCATTCCACGGCCAGCACCGTGTGGTTCCGTTTGTGAGCGAATGACAATCGGCTGGTGTCTTGGAGTAGTACGGTTTGCGCTCGAGTCGCTTCGGCCAACGCCTCCTCCGGGGAACGAAGCTCCAGGCTTCATAGCATCGAAGGCCCCTGTGCCGACGGGAGCAGTGGCGGCATGGTTGAGAGGATGTGGGTAGTTGTTCCCTCTCTTAGATTTTGATCGGAAAATACCCCATTTTTTCCCTTTGGCCTTTGAAGGGTCGTCCATGTGTTCCTGAACTTCGATTATTGGTGCTTGCGCCGAAGCTGGAGTTGAGCCCGGCGTCCACGCTGAGAGGGACGATGTCAGTGCTGGGGTCTGGCCATTTTCGAGTCGGGGCGTTGGCGACGATCTCGTAGATCCCATAGGCGACTGGAGGTGACTGAGGGGCGACTTGCTGTGTCCTAGTGGTGACTGCTTATATCCAGGCTGTGATGGTCTTCTGGCATTCATGGGCGATAGCGAGTGCCCAGCGTGAGGGTGAGCTGGACTTCCCAGGGCCATACCGATGGCGACAGGATCTTGACCTCCTGGGTGAACTGGATGACTTGAGGTTGAGTTGGATGAAACTCCAGGGCCAGCTGGGGGGTTTCTGTTGGAGAGAGGACCAGAGTCGTGGGTGGGGGAGGTGCTTCGGATCGGGACGTGAAAGGGCTTGAAACTTTGTTTCTGGGAAGTCATGGTCATCAGGTAGAGATCATCGCGCGACTTGCGCTTATCGTATTCGGGCTTCCGGGAGACCAGATTTGTGCCAGAGCTGCTACGCGGCCGAAACGCAGGAGCCGGCATTGGTGTTGATCGCGGGGCCATGATGGCTGGGCGAGCCTAGTCCTCGCAGGCTGTGGCATACATACGATGAGACGAAGTCTGTGAGCGACAGCAGGCGAGCAGAAACGGGAAAGGGCTCTGGCTAGTGAGGGTGGCGCCGTGTGTCGTGTATCCAGTCGTGAGAGAGTGAGAGATGGGACGGATACGAACGATTTAGCCTGGCATGCGGTGAGCACCTCCAGACGGATGCTCGATCCGCCAGTCTCTCACTCTCAGACTGTCCCTGTTCCACCACAGGAGCCATCGTTCTCCACGGCGGCCCTGTCCTGGTACTGCGACCAGACTGAGAGTTGACCGAAGGTCCCTCCATGCTGCACCCTGGAAAGATCACACACACACCTGGCGAGTTGCATGGGTGAGGGGCTGTGGACCAGCCAAGGCTGTGCCGTTGAAGACGATGGATGGCCAGTGCATGTTTCAAGTTGGATTGGAGGACCGGGATGGCATGTTACAAGCCTGCTTGTCTGGTTCGCAAACTTGGCCTAGTAATAACAGGGGCCCTGCATGGGAGGCACCTTATTTCCCGACGGCTGCCCTTGGCCAGGCCTGGGGTCCGTCCTCGTCATTGCTCGTCGCTGCAGGCACCCGCTTGATCGATGCCCGGGATTGCAGGCTGATAGCAATGCGAAGAAGCGCACTGACAGATGATGAGGAGGATGCACATACCCACAACGGAGGCCGAGCGCATATCGCACCACGATTCAGAGCAGAGAAACCGGGATGGACAGAGATGGCGGGCGGGTGGCCACACTGCCGAGCCGGTTTGGTAGTACAAAGAAGCCACGACATGGGCACGAAGGTATTCCCTCCGGCCATGTACAGTACATTCTGTGCCTGAGTCTATTAATATCCTGTTAGTCGCCCAGAGGTGCGCTTGGTAGATCTGATTGGAGAGGCAGTACTAAGTAGGAATAAGCACGGTAATGCCACGGTAAGCAGGCAGTGCCCAAGTAGGACGAGTCAGTGCGATATGCCATCCGAGCCCAAAGCGTGCCGCGAATAGGTGGGCTACCGAGAAGGAACGCGCTGATTAGAGCTGATAAATTAATTCCCGGCTTTGCGCAGTGCGACATCCATCTCTGCTCTGCGCGAGATGGGCGGCGGGGTTTCGTGATTCGCCAGGTCCAACAAGGTACCGGGCTCCAGAGCCCTGGAAATCTGCAGCAACTCCCAGACCTGCCAGTGCCCGTTCCAGGGGTCAAGCCGAACCCCCTACTTTAACCAAGCGAGTGTCGAAGTAAATGAAGGGCTCTACGGGCATGTTTGAGGTGGTCTCTGGAGACAGCCAGCGCGGGATCAATTGCTATGCGCATTGAGTTGAGCTGCTCTAGCTCCCAGAAGCCATCGCCACCAGGATGCCCTAAGGCCTAGAGGGGTGCTAATACCGAGGGGCCTTTACCGCTAACAGGCTAGGAGCGGCCCATTCTGCCGGCGAGCAACAATCTGCGCCGGCTTTTAGCATGTCTAGTGGCCTAACCAGCAGCTGGGGGGGACCCTTAGGGGCCCTTGGCAGTTGGGGGCCTCCCCCGGACCACACCAGGCCACTTTTGGGCCGGATGATGGCATACCAGATGCGCCGCCATGGATGCATTCTGCAAGTGGAAGCACCATTGGATGTTGGGGAAAAGCCAATCTTCGATGGATGGGCATATTATGCACCGGTTCCGCTGAAATGGCACCCAAGACGTACTATGTAGCCAGACTGCCGGAGGCGAGTAAGCCTGCCAAGTGAGCGCAGTAATACAGCCATTCTGATCATCTGCAGCCTGCGGTCTTGGACGAGTAAGATCGCGTGGAATAATCACACATGACGCGCGCGGTCCAAAAAAAGCCGCGCATGTCTTTAATTACTTGGCAGGGAAGCGTGCGGCTCAGTTCAGAAGGATCACGTACATTAATCTCGTGAGCCCAAGGCCAACGGCGAATCACGATCCAGAGGCTAAGACACTGTCTGATCCTTCTAGAACAACAGTAAAAGAAACTAACGGCTTCCGACTTGCTTAGTCTTGAGCCAAGCTGCAGTCTGCAATGCGAACCATGACTGCCGCTTCCTATTGGCGTGGAGATCGGCACTGATGAGCTCGTATTGACTGCTCTATCTGCATGATTGGCTGTTGGGCCCGGAACATCTTGACGGATTCGCTTTCAGAGAGCAGGAGATGGCTCAGCCGCGCCAATATAGGCAATAATACGACCAAACAACTCATGCAAGTGTCTAGCTTACTGGTCCAGTGCGAGAACACTGGGCAGCCATCTTAGATTATGGCTCCTTATTCAAGATAACCAATACGCAGCTCCACAAGGCTGCGCAAACCACCAAGTTCGTCGATCGTGTTGCTAAAGTGCAAGGTTTGTCCAACGAGATAAATCCATCCTTGTGTATAGTTCCTCCCATGATGCTTGTCTACCTGAAAGGACCGTTTCAGGCCGTTTCTATTGGATAGCCCAGACGTCGCCTCCAAATCACCGTATAACACCGGCAGTTATGTGCCATTGGGGGCCACTCCGTGCATGGGGTCTGTTACAACAACTCGTATATGCCCAGCGACGAAAGACTCTGCTATCTAGTGGATACATTTACATTCTGAGGCTGATTCTGCGACGGCACCTGTAACATTGATAAGTTTATTAATTCCTATCTCAATACTAGTTTCCCAGTATTGGCCGGGTACTACCAGGACGAATGATTGTTGCAATCACAGTGCTTGCTTGTATGAACCAATCCGATATGCTTCATTCTCTATCTAAACCATGTTGTCGACATTCTTCCTCACTGCCGCAAGAGTCCAGATACTTAAACAAGTGTTACCTTTCTCCATGTCCAAGTTTATCAAGACTTTTCAGATTTCTTCCGGGCCTTCTCGATGCGTTCAAGCTCCCTGTCGATCCTCTTGAAGCTCCAGCTCCTCCAAAAGGATGGATCTACATCTCAATTAGTAACCTTAAATGCGGAACATTAGTGCTTGATTGATAAACGGCGTTCACTGACAGAGAAATGGCCTCAGATCTAGGTTCCAGTTAGTTAAAGTATAAAATTACAACATTTCTGTGTTCACCTACCGAAGCGGTTGTCCTCGGGAGAGTAATCATTGCTGTGCTTGTTAGTACGTTTGTTCTCAAGGGTTTCTCGAGGCTATCCATACCAGTGCACTAGAGAAGATTAGTACTTGATCCATAAAAATTATTTAAATTTTCGAGGCCATCACAAGAGGGTTTAGATGAGGGAAGGAAGGCTGAATCATGGATTAAGACCAAGAGGTCAATTGTTACAAGCTTAAAAGGGGCATTTCGATATATTTGTGAAAGCAACTTACAGGCAGGTGTCAATGTAGTAGCCTTGTGTCGCGTAATTGCACTATATCCCAGGTCAGCTAACTGGACTCTTGCCGTTCCTCACGGAAGTTGCTTGATCATCTTTCCAGGCCTAAATCTGCCAATATTGTCGACGAGCTAAAGGCGACTGGGACGACCGTTTTGAAGAATGAGGAGAAAGCATATTTGGGGGTTAACGTACTATTGCGCGAAGAAAAACTTCACTTTGTAGGCAATTTCTGCCGGCTCAAGAGAAACCTCCTGCTTTTCAGATCCCTCTTGTTGGTCCTTGCCCCAGACATGAACGAGATGTTGGAACATTGACAGAGGGCCCATCTTCCTCTCCTTGCGAAGACGACCTACTTTCGTCAGATGATTGATCCATAGACAGTATGGGCTTGTAGGTTATCTTACCGAAGACATTCAACTCAGCATACGTCATTCCCATATCTGCTTCGTCCGACTGCACATAATCTTCAGTAATGGGCTCCAGCTCAGCGGTAGGAGTTGCCGTAACGAAGTCGTCAAGGCATGGGATCTCGAAATGGACCTGAGCCCAAGAAATGAAACGTTTGAGGTCTGCCTTGTCAATAGATCCAATCGGGTTGATATCCGCCGAAGAGCAATCGTATTTGGTGAGATAACCCCTCAGAGCTAATTCGAAATGAGCTTAATCCTAATCAAAGTTTTTTATGTCAACTTACCCTCGCCGACGTTGGCACTACCAAGAACCAATAGACCGCCTCCGCCGGCCAGCTGTCGAGTCGTTGGGAGGATCTGGGCGAATTCATATGCCGTCTGCTTGGTTGTGAGAAAAGCCAAAGTGAGCTGGTCATGGTTTCGATCTTACCACCATACGCGTGCGAGCCTGGATGTTCTGCAACATAAGGTTCTCTGCGGGGGTACCGCCCTCCACCTTGAACTTTGCCTCAAAGCCGAGCGCCTCTTTTACGAGGTTCTTCTGAGCATGATATACTGAATCGATATCAAGATTGACATGGTAGGACCCGATGGCTGCCGATAGATCCTTAGCCCGCTGGCGAGTCTCATGGGAGCTTTGCTGCGACATTCCCATGTAGATTGTGTGAAGAACGCGGTTGCACAGCTCGTGGGGAGTCTTGGGAAGAGGAGCCTCGCCAAACAAGCGTTTTACTACAGCAATGACTGACTGGTTGCCATCTTCAATCGCAGAAATGACGAGTCGACACATCGAGAAGACCGAGACAGCTGTGAGAACTTGTCAGTGGATCTACTCTACTACCAATCCTGGAGCCTAGAAATGAAGACTCACTTGTAGCACATGAGTCTAGGCCTCCTGATAAAGGAGTAAGACTAACGACAACTATTAGCCCACAAAATGCCTGAAAATCTCATGAGGCTTCAGACACTCACTATCCTGTAGAACCGCTCCTGGCCAGATAATCCCAGAGGTAACAACCAGCACACTATAGGCTAAGTCAGCGGTGATTTACTGTTAGCCAAGCCAATTCAGGGGCCACATACGAGTGCCACTTCCTCTTCGACAGAATGAAATTTCAATTCCCGTGGTAGAGTTGGTCGGCGATGAGAGTCCAAATCATCCTCATCGGGGCTGAGCTCAAATGCCGTCTGAATACGATGGTACTTCTTGGTGCTGTGTGCTGCCTGCAAAGCCCGGGACATGCTTGAACGGTAGGCGCGCACCTCCTCCAGATCGACTGTGGCGGTAATGACATCCACCTCATTCAGCGAAAACTGAGGGCTTTGGGCAAGCACTTGACCGTTGCAGAGGATCATAGCACAGCCGTCGAAGTACAGCCTTTCACCGTCACATCCTGCAAAGTTCAGCTTCAATCAGTAGATGTGGGAGTGTATTACACTCCTAGGCTTCCAAAAGACGTACCTTGAACATTGGAGTATACATAAACACCTCCACACTTTCGTGTAGCTTCGCTGATGAGCTTGAGCCTGACGTCCAGCTTTTGCAGGCTAAAGTGGCTCGCAGAACTGTTGGTGATGATTTCAACGCCGTCCAAAGTCATTGGAATGTCTAACCCATGTTATCAATCAAGAAGTTCGTTCAAAGAAAGAGAGCGAACAGTACTTACGAGGGGCATCTGGAGACCACATTTCTTCACATGTTTCAGCACCGAAGCAGCTATCGGGAGTACTAATGACACAGTCTCCAAAGGGAACATGAGTGCTTCCTTGCAGTTTCTGCAGCATCTTGGGCAGATGGAAGTCTTCCCACTGTGTCTGCCGGGTCCATGGGGTAAACCAGCGCATTTCTCGGTAATCTAAAGAGTCAGCATGAACTCGTTCTGCATATTCAGTGCGCACTAACTGCCATCATTCGCCAGATCTACCCTTAGAAGTTAGCAATGCCTTCTGATGGGAACAAATATTCACCGGTGTCCCTTGATGTAGGGCACTCACGCATTTTCGGGCGGATAAAGAGAATCTTGCCATCAAGACAAATCACTCTGCAGTTGTAATTCACATTACGGTGGCTAACGGGGAGACCAATGTCCAGGAGTATGCCATTGCAGCTTTCATCTGAAAGGATTCGCGCCAGCATCTCCATAGTATGGAGATAAAGATCAGGCTCGAGGAAATGGTCATTGCAAGAATAGCCCGAAACTTCCAATTCCTAAGATTAACAACATCAGCAAGTTTGATCATCCTTTCTGCCAAATTACAGGCTAAGGACAGAGGAGTATCGCGGGAACAGGAGCATCATACTGGGCCGACACGGAGCCTTGCGCCAGCAGCTTTCGCTTGGCGAATCGACTCGATGATTCTGTCTGTGTTCCCCTAATAAATTGGTCAGGCTCAGTTCTGCGTTATGGGCGGTTCAAGGGTTTCAAAAAGGACCTCATAATCTAAGGCGAACTGCCTGAGCGAACAGGCCGCAACTACAGTCAATCTGACCATGGTGCTGGAATCTTAGACGTGAGTCTAGGCGCAAGCAAAGTTGTTGTAAAAGTTCTCCGCCTATGTTACACCGGGGAGGGTTTTGCGAGAAGTTCAATCTCAAATTTCACCTCATCTGACCGAAATGCAAGTCAGATCACACACATTGAATCAAAGAGATGCTAATGGAAGCGAAACCTAGAGAAGGCTTGGGAATGCACTTGCGGGGTGAAGGGCGACCGGACCGGGGTATTTTCGGATGTGAATCATAGCACCGATAACATTGCTTCCGTTCAACCAACGCTGTGCTGTGGAGTTCGCCACAGTCATCATCTGTTCGGTCTTATAAAATCCATTACTTAAGGTGCACAGAGCTGAAGCACAAGACCAACACGTCGCTCGTGAGTTGCCAAGCCCAGAGAGCGGGTTGAGGGACAGAGAAATCCAGGTGTAGGGTACTCCCACCAAGTCGCTATCTTGGAGGTGCCGATGTATTCTCATTGGTAAACAACTACTTACCTCTGGATACTATGTATTGAATTCTACAAGGCATACCTTTTTTCGATGGACCAATATCTCATTATCTGCAAAGCAAATCTCTCCAGGCTGCACAAGTAAGTAGGTAACGTCAATACGTCTCCTCCATTGCCGCACTTGCTCCGAAACTGCTCCGAAGACATCCTACCTAGCTAGGACATATCAGGCAAGGCCTCTGAGCCCCCATTTCTCATACCTGTCAATTGAAGTCACTCGTAGCATCTTGAGGCTGTTAAGAACTGCACTTCAAAAGTCAATATACACCTAGGTAGTTAGGACCAAAAAATTGCAAAAGCTGCCGCAAATCGCTTGTATGGAATGGTCCCGCCTTGTAAATGATTAAACGCTAGTTGGACACAATCACCAAGCAGCTTTCCACCCAGAGCTAAGAATGTAAGCCTGCTACTACATATGCTACAGCGTTATACGCCTTGTTGATCAACTTTTTAAAAAAAAAGTATAATGTCAGATTTGTTAGACATCAAGGAGGTCATTCCATAGAAACCAAGGTATTGTTTCTCTCATCGTTTCCTTGCCTACCAGAAAGGCCGTGTATGTGCTACAGAAGGTATGTTGAATTCTTGTTTGGTTGAGCCTGCCACTGGTTTGACCCGTCAGGTAAGCAAAGGATATCGAACCTATCATATTACTTCATAGCGGATGGCATCTTCGAAAGGTGTTTATGCGTCATGAAACGCCGTATCATGAAGATGTGAACCCCCGAACATGAAGCGATTAATGTGCGATCTCCATGCGGCGTGGCATTGAAACCAGGGGCTCAACTCAAACAAGCCTTACCGTTGCTATTACAGGACTCGTCATTGCTATTAATAATTCTGCACATCACATGTAAGGTACTTCGACCAGAGTTATAGGGTAAGCCCGTACTGGGAGCAATTCGTGTGAACAGTGATAGCATGTTAAAGAATAGAATTGTCTGATGATAAAATATGGCCAGGAATAAGAACCGGTTGCAGGGTACAAATTGAGCCTCCTTCGAAACAAAACTCGGTGACTGGCAAAACCCTTGGCGTGCGCATTGAGCGCTGGGCCAAAGACTCCAGCCGGGATATGGGAGGGGCGTCAAGCTTTGCCATGCCATTGTGTGATTGATTTAGTAAGGACCGTCCTGTGGACCTACTGATGGCGACTTTCATGCCTGCCTTGGGTTTAGGCTAGGCAGGCAGGTACAGGTACTTGCTACCTCTCCCAGGTACTGCCAGGTGCGCTGGGCCTCTAGACATTGGCACTACGTCGTTCATACGGTAAGTCCCTGATGGTGGATGGGGGGGATGAGGGGCAGCCGAAAAGGCAGCGGCGGGGTCGCGCTACATCACCACATTACCACAACAACAAACTAATACCACCCAGAAAGGATCTCACCCTGTTGGCTTGCTTTCCCACCGCCATCCTCCCGAGCTCGCATTTCTTTTCCGGCTACTCCAAGCTCTACAGCGACACACCTCTCAACATCTTCTTATCCCACCTCCTTACCCTTTCCACTAATTACCTTCATCATGTCCTGGCAAGGTACGCAAAGCGCTCAACTAAGCTCCTCACCCCACCTTGGATTTGCTCTCCCGCTAACTTCCCCTCCAAACAGCATACGTCGACACTAGGTAAATTCCATGCACTGAACACTCTTCCCAGATGGACGCGGGGTGCTCCCGTGTTGTCTGACCGATGCGAGTCCTTCGGTACTGATTCCGAGTTCCTAGCCTCGTCGCTACCGGCCATGTCGACAAGGGCGCCATCATTAGTGCTGCTGGCGACAGCTCCTGGGCCGCTTCAGCCGACTTCCAGGTACGATATCCTACCAGACGATGGATTTGATGGAGATCTCCCCGCATCTTCTCTTTCCGCGGGGGTTTAGCGAGAGATGGGAGCATTCAACTAACCATTCTTGCTGAACAGCTCAAGCCTGAGGAAATGAAGGCCATTTCCAGCATTGTCGGCGGTGATGCTGCTGCCAAGGACAAGGCCTTTGCTGACGGTCTCTATGTTGCTGGTACCCGGTTCGTCCTGGCCCGAGCTGAGGACCGAAGCATTTACGCTCGATCTGTGAGATACCACCCATCCTAGCCCATGCGTCAAACTTGCCAATTCTCGGTTTAGTTTGGCCGTGTATTGCATGGTGGTGACTAACCAAAGAAACAGGGCCGAACTGGAGTCGCTATTGCCAAGACGAAGCAGGCCATCATCGTTGCTCACCACCCCGAGAGTGGTGTCGCCGGAAACGCTACCTCGACTGTCGAGGGCCTTGCTGACTACCTTATCGGCCAGGGTTACTAGACTTGGGGACATAAGGGACTCGGAGGCAGCTTGGGGGAGTGTTGATACTGGGGAAGGGGTGAGCGAAGGCTGTGAAACTTCACAGCACTAAATACCCTGCGCTGGTTGGTTTTCTAGTTGGTGTACGAAATAGCTCGCCAGAATGGCTATTACGTGATGAGAGTGCGGTTGACACAATGGGAAGCAGGTGGCGAGAGAGATTTGTCTTCGTTCTTGATTTCGTGGCATGACGCCTCCTGTTGAGGTCTCTGTCAAGATTCTGCATATATCAAGCAGCTGCCCTTCATACATATCCAAATAAGCAAGTTCACCGTCCAAATGCCAAGCATATGTCTCCCATTGCTTTCTAGGTCCCGGCAACCCAGTTCCATATACTGAACAGGAAAGGAACCTTCAGTCCCTAAAAATACCGCCCTCTTGGGGTTCTTAGTACACCTCGTCTCCCAATACAATACAGTGAAAATTCCCTTCCCATGTAATTCATAGAGAAGCTTCTATCACAACGCCAATGCCGCCGGCTTTTGGACCTAGCCAATTCCCAGAACTCCGCCTTCTACCTTGTAATGACCGTTGTCGAGCCGAATAATCGTAGAGCACACAGATAGATATCTCCGACGAGATTATCTACGTCTTCCTGGGTGTTTTCCCACCCTCGTCTTCAAACTGGCAGGTCCGCGTTTCGCCGTCCAAGGCCTGCGCTGTCGACAGCCGTGCCAATGTAGGGTCCCACGACCGGCAAGCCCCGCGCGAAGCTGGCGATTGTCCCCAGAAAGTCGCCGAAGAGGATGGCTATGCCGTATGCCTCTACCAAGAACCCGATGAACGTCCACCGGAGAAGGATGAGTATTAGACCGCCGAAGAAGGCTGCTGTGCCCTTTGCCTTTTGTTTCCGGGCGAAGAAGAGGAGGGTCTTCTGGGGTCCGATTATGATCGTTAGGCCGATGAGGAAAAGGATCTGTTGTTGTCGGAAGAAGGGGACGAGGGTTAGTTTCGAACTATAAGTTGTGAGAGGACGAAAGGATCAGGGTCGTACATTTCCCATAGCCAGCCTAGGTAAAGAAATGTGGTTAGCAAACTAGCACGAGAGGACGGAGAAGCTAATGACTCCTATGGCGTTGATCGCATAGCTTACATAGCTCGGTCAAAGAATAGCATCACACCTCCAATGAGGAAGAAGCCACCTGCAGTTCGTGAGGTTTAGTGAGACCCTTGGACCTGTATGCACTTTGCGCCGGTCGCGTGCGCGAGGCCTACATACCTCCGGAGCAAAACACCACTCCAATTTCTGTTGCAAGCAAAGGTTAGCATCATGAACAGGGAGCTTTATCTCAGTGGAAGCAATCCGGCCGTCTTGGCGGGTTTGTCCGAGCTCCATGGTGGGCTGGTGAAACGTACTCTGGGAATCTGAGAGCCACATCGACATCTTGGCGAGTCTTTCTGGGCTGCTGAATTAATTTCTAGGGACTGGCGAGAATGGGATGACGTATTTGGCGTTGGAGGAAGGGATCGGGTCTGCGAGAGCCAATGCGCCGTTTACAATTATGGAAAGAGAAGGTCAGAGGAAGGAAAAGAAAATACGAAAGCAATGCGGACAAGAGACGTTTGGCCTTCGCAAATGATCGTCAAAGGGGGCCTGATACAGCAGAACGGTTCTGTGGTGCAGGACCCTGGCCGTCATGGGGAGTCTTCGCGTTGCCAATCTCGGAATAGATCCTTGCCGCTCTTGCTGAGGCCTATCTCGGGACTTAGTCAGCGGTCTGGTCCTGCACCGCACGCGGAAATGAGACGCCAGGGAGAGTAAGCGAACCTCGCTGTGGCATTTGAGGTGGTTTCTAGAAATACGAAAAGGTTTGTCTGGAAACAGCGTTTCTCGCGATCTACTAGAGTTGACATTGAAGTCCACGCGAATTCTGGCTGGAGTGGGGAGGTCTTGAAGGCTTCTGATACCCACTGATCTAGCTGCTGTCTTCCCTTCAAACTTGAGAGTCAAAATATCACATAGTCCTTTCATCCATGACGTACTCGTATATCTTATTGATTCTTCTTTTCGATTCGCGTCAGTACCCTTGTATAACCTTGGCTCTGAGTACCTACGTAGGGAGCTACCGATGTAGGTACAGGTTTGATATGATATAGAACCTAGATCCAGGAACACTCTCAGAAGCAGAATGCAAAGTTGAATATGATGCAAA